ACCTTCTGGTTCACAGTGCTGCATTGTGTATGATAATGCCTCTCCCGGCTAACATTTTATTTATTCACTGAAAATTAATAGCTCATAAAGTGATGCCTCATTAAAATGCAAGGTGCATAAGTGCATTATCACTGAAATTTGCAAGCGTACCAAAGGAAAGCTTGGTTGTGCAGGACGGTGCCCCCAGCACAAAGTCAATAGACCATTACATCATTAAAACAGGCAAATTATGGCCTAATTTGTCATTCAATTACAGACTCACCAAAATTACATCTCGCATGATCTAGTTAGACTAGACTTTCATGAGTATGTTAGAGAATGGCAGCTACTCAGCTGCTGCATTTTGCATAGCCTAATTATATTCTTAGTTGATTACACAGAATTATATATGATAAGGCACTGCTACAATCTAATAGTCTTAGTGCCAGCCTGGGGGTGATGTGATTTATATAAGCCAAAGCAGACATTAAAGGGCCCTTCTTCCACTTTTATTGTCTCTCACAGTCTTCTTTTGTGTGGCTTTAGGTACCAAAACATAGTCGGTATTTGTTCTTACACAACCATTTTCCAACCTTTCATTACCTCTTAGAACTAAACAGGCCATTTTTACTGTCCTTTAAGAATGATATGTAACTGAGTTCTGTTCTGATTGGCTGCCCTGTATTCAAAAAAGCAGTCCAGGCTAAAACACTCCTTATAACCTTAACGTGAGTGGGCGGAACTAAACTACTGTAGTTACTGGTGGATATTTGGCCATGTGTTAGTTTGTGTGATTTCACAAAAACACTGGATTCAAAAACTTTTTTGCAGTTATGTTTCCAAATGTGGGCCTCATAGACTGAGGAGCAAATGGTACATTTTGAAATGTTATGTTTACATACTATATAATTTCCAAAAAAGCAATGACGGTTCAGTTTTCAGTCCCTTATGAAGCAAAATGATTCATGAAACCTGCATTAAATTACATTCATCTGCATTTGTTTGTCAGGTACTGGCTCACGAACAAGGTAAATATCAAGCGCCCCAGCACCGGACTGTTGATGTACACCATGGCCACACGCTTCTGTGATGAGATCCATCTGTATGGATTTTGGCCATTTCCAAAAGATGCTGCCGGAAATCCTGTGAAGTATCATTACTACGACACCCTTAAGTACCGGTACTTCTCCAACACGGGCCCTCACCGGATGCCACTTGAGTTCAAGACGTTGAAAATGTTACACAGCAAAGGGGCCCTGAAGCTGACGACATCTACATGTAGACAAGCTTGACGGGCTGCAGTTGGTCATAGTTATGGCACTCTGTGCCACTATCGATCAAAAGGACGGCCGAATTACTCATATGACACTCTTGAATATTTGAGTGTCTGAACCATGTGAAGCTTTGCGGTCTGAGTGTGCCTTCGGTTGGACATTTCAGAGGCATAATCTGCAGATTGTGTGGTAATTAGTGTCAAAAATGGTTCAAAAGTGCTCTATTATATCATATTTCAGTAACAAAATCCCCATCGGTGAGCTGAGCTCTTGATTCACGAACATAAAAATGTCACAGTTACAGACACCTTGCAATAGTTTGGCTAATGAGAGAAGCCTTGTCGGTTGTTTTAAAACTGGATGTAAAATGGCTGTTCTCAGTGATACCACCTTAAAATTAGTAACTTTGTTACTACTGTAAGAAGATGTCTTAATGATCCCAAAGAGCCTGATATTCTAGCTAATGTTACCTTGAGAGATTGTATTGTTCTTCAGTGCTGTACTTTTTAGGATTTAGAGGCCTTTGTGCAAATTATTTTTTTATCAGTCTAAAACGTACAACCCGTACATTTTTAAATTGGCTGTGTTTAAAAGTCAACATGTCACACTAATGTGTAGGCTATGTTTAGATTTGATTTTTTTAAAGTCTAGATGATGTAACTTACTGTATGTTTGAATGTATCTCAGTTTAGACCAGTGGTGGTGATGCTAAAGGGTCTGTTTAATAGAATGGTAGACTGGTAATTATATTTCTGGAATGTACTGCATATTTATTGAACTTGTGGACACTGGGACTGTACATCCCAGCACCAGTTTTCAGCCGAGCCCATTCTTTACCTTCTGTTGTTTCAAGGCCTGGATATACTGAACTACTTCTCTCTCAGACATGTGAGTAATGAATTAGCTTAAACCATTCTGATGTCTTCAAAATCGTCTAAAAGTTCTTCTGAATATTTATGCTGCTTTCCCTCTCTCAATATTGCTTAGTGTATCCAGGCCTTTGGTGCAGTTTTTCATTCAGAAATTTGAATGACGTTTTGCTATCTGTAGCACTGTACATATGTACGAATGTAAAGATGCTTTCATTTGTTCACAGCAGAAACTTACTACTTGACAAAGACTGAATATTGTAATGTATCTTATGCACTGAACAGCTGGAATTAGTGAGTCACAGGCTATTTTTTAGTCTTTTTTCAGAGATTTGTTGCTGTCTCCAACTCTACAATAGTAACAGATTTTTTTCACAACATGGCATATATTCTTAAACCGAATCATTTCAGGCTTCAAGAAGATACGGGCCATGCGCCGTGCTATTTATTGTTACAGAGATCTGCTGTTATTTTTATTTCAGGGTTTTCATTTTGTACGTTTTCCTTGTCTGTAATTTATATTGTAATTTTTTGTACTTTGAATCACACTGACCAAGATGTTGAATGTGATAGGCTTTGGGTCATTTTTAGAGAATTTGATACTTATTGTTTTGCTAAAATCCCAGCTTTAAAACTGATTTCACTTTTTTTCCAAAACCAAGTTTATATGTTTGTAGAAATTTTAGACAGAAAATAAAATACATTGTTGATCCCCCTATTGTGTGTGTGTGTGTGTGTGTGTGTGTGTGTGTGTGTGTCTGTTTTCTCTTTGTGGGCCCTAAATGTGCCCATGATAGTGGACAACATGAAGCACCACTGTCCACCTCTGCTTGGCAACAGTTATTTAAACGGAAGGCAATGGAAATATCTCTTTGTGTGTTTGTGTCTCGGGTCAATTCTCAATTCAGGTTTTGGCTGTTTGGCGCCCCCTTTCGGCCACTCGCTGCGCTGACCGGAAAATGTTTCTTCCCGCCCGCTTTCCGACAAGCCCCGCCTTCTTGGCTACGATTGGCTAATACTGTCCCTCCTCCTCGCCACGATTGGCTGGTACTTCACAGGGATTCCGGGACCAAGCGTATGATGGTAAAAGGTGAAAGCTCTCCTGTCATGGAGATGTTGACTAGTTCCCATAAAAAACAAGAATAGTCCGTTGTGTAATATTCACCAAAGGAGATTCGTATGGCCATTAGAAATCCCCATAAACAGTCTCTCATCAGCCCCCTGTGAGATCAGCCATGCTAGTGTAATGTAGGGGATTCTCAGAAGAAACTCAGACAACTCGAAGTTCTTGTCTATAACGCGGCTTTACTTAGTACAGCGAAGAGAATACAGGGGGGGAATATGGCCCTCAGTCTAGCTCCCGGCTCTTACTGTTAGCTCCCTCTCTCTAGCTCTAGCTTGCTACAAACAAAGCTTTGACATTTCCTCGCCCTTCAGAATAAGAGTCCAGTAAATAGATGCAGTCGAACTAAACATTTTCTGAACAGCTACTTTATTACTTCTTTTTTAAAGTAGACAGAACATGGGCGTGCTCTAACACCACACTGTTATTTAATTTAGTATAATTTAAATCAAAGTTGAATCATAAGAATTAATGTTAAGACACTGAAATCTCTACTTCTCTGTAGTTAGCTAGCGTTACATGATTCTACTCTGCGCGTCACTGCGCTTAAGCTTGCGTAGCAACAGTAACCAGGGTGATGCCGTCGCAATTTCTGTTTATCAAAATCAGCTCTAAAATAATCCAGATTAAGACACATCTACCTTAACTACCCGTAGAAGAAACATACAACAGACTTGTAAGGTAACCTACATAGTTAGCTTACTGCAAGGAAAGTAATGTTTGACTGGAGCTTTGGTTTTGTCGTTTGGTAAACATGACTATCTATCTAACTAACGTTAGGTTAACATTGTCTATATAGCTGTCGTTAGGTTAACGTGATTAGCATTACTTGATTAGCCTGCAGATATGTTAGCTTCCCATTTAGAAACTGAGTTAAACTGATCAGGTCATTTGAAGCTAGTGATCTACAAATTAAGGTACAGGTTTGTGGAAAAGCGAACCCCTTCTGAAATAATCCATACTCCTCCCAAATTTCACGTGACCGTCATCAAAGCTATTATGCTAATAATACAGTCTTATTTAACAAACAACAGCCTAAATGGCTTAATCATAGCCACACATACAGAAGTCTGATATATATATAGGCATATATGGACATATATCATAAAGGATCAAGCATATATTTCAAAACATATGTAAGACATTGTGTACATACATGTATCAAGTATTGAACATATCTGTCTGATATATGGTTGAATACATCCCGGTACAGTTTTGTTATTATACTATGTGTTTGTTTTTAAAAATGAAACATTTTAATTAATTTCGTGTTTTAATGCTTTTACTGCACAGCTTACAATGTGCCTGTATCTAGACTTTAGTTTTGTACCTAGTATACAGATGTTCCCTTTATTAGGTGGATGTGGAAGAAACAAAGAAAATGCTTAAGTCAAATATTACATAACATGCAGCCAGCATATGTGAGTAATATATGCCATCTATGTATGAGTAATGTTTTCATTCATATATTGTTAAATGACAGTGGCATAACTAGGATCTTATGGGCCCCCATCAGTCAATAAAGTAATTACAGGGTAATTTGCATGTTTATTGCTATGTCTCAAACAAGATGATGCTCTCAAGACATGTCAGTCCACCTGCTTCACAACGACAGTTCTGTTAGTTTCTGTTTATAATCAGCTGTGAGATGGCTAAGCTAGGCAGCAGGACTATTTTTGCACACAGCACGTTCACGTGTGCAAAAATAGTCCTGCTGCCTAGCTTAGTCATCTCACAGCTGATTATAAACAGAAACTAACGGAAATGTCTTTGTGAAGCAGGTTTCCTTAATGAAAACGGTTAGTTGGAGTATGAAAATCAATTATCTTGGTCGGTTGTGGATTAATGTGATATTTCCTGAAGGAGGCCCACAGCAATATCAGCCAGCTAGTGATGAGGTGAGTAGAGGAGGATAAAGACTGACCTGTTGCTCTCTTGCTGAATTAGTTTTTCACAGAGCACACTTTCTTTTCCTTTAAGCTCCTCTCCTCCCAATGGGCAGTCCGAGCCTAGTTACGCCACTGGTTTAATATATGTTTTACATATATATGTTTTAATATGTGGAAATGGCCAATTTCAAATAAACTGGCGTATTATGTCACATATGTCACATATCTGCCCAAATATAATGCTGCTGTTGGAACAAAACCAAAATGGTAACTTTACAAGAGAAGGAGAAAACATACTTTACTCTTAATGCAAGTCAAGGTAAGCAGACGTTTTTACAAGTAATTTTGGACCGTTTCTTTTCATCCATTGATCACACAATGTAATGGGCCACAGGCAAAAAAAATGGAGATACAAGGTTTTGTTCCAACAACAGCAAGTTGTAAATAAGGGAATTCCATATATGATAATATATGTCATATAATTAAAACCCATATATTGCCATTAATCAGATTTCTGTATGCGCATTGATGGAAAAAGGATGTAAAGTCTGTGTAGCTGTAAAGTGTATTTTTTTACACAAACCCATTTCAGTTCTTGTATAGTTTGTCTAGTCTTTCTTAAACAACTTGATTCAGATTCTAAAGCCAAGAAAACTTCTCTTTGGCCATCAAACCTGTTGATGTGTTTCTGTGTTTTGAGTCATTGTCATGTGTTGCTCCACTACATCTCTTCAGTTTGAGACATTTCCTGATAAAATAAGACTATTTAGTATTATGACTTCTTTAGATGAAGATTAAAGCACATTTTAATTATGCAGAAATTCCAGATAATTAAAAATGGTTTACTTTCTTTTTTTTGCAACTGTATGTTACCTGATTAAAATACTAACACTAAACACGAGCACAATTTGGACGAAGCTGCCTCTACATAGAAGTAACAATTATTGGTCTAAAGAGCTGAAATGTGATATAGTTAAAGCCTGAATGAACGTCTAAGTGTAGTTTTTTGAGCACATTTCCTCCACATAATTTTCCTACTACTTTTCACCATAAATAGACAACACAGACAATAGGCACTTGCACGTGTGGCTTGAGATCTGTTGTTTCTTTTCCCCTTTTCTCTGTATTCTGCTGACCAAGTCTCATGAATTCACTCCCTGCTGGTTTGTTTTCCTTTCATCAGACGAATTTTTTGGAAGCTGCCCTTTCTCCATCAGTGGCGATGAAGCTGTTACTTGCAAATGGCCTGTGTGGAATGACTCCTGATCAGGGTTCCATAGTGGGTGCCATGTATTTCATTGTGGTGGGCATCATGCAGCTGGTGTTTGAAGTTGGTCATCTCAGCAGAGCTACCGAGTACATCGCTCAAGCTTCCCTCAACAGCACCACTGACTCCTCCAAAAATATCACCATGAGCTATCTTCTCCTACCTCGAGTCAGCTTCTTGTACTACTATGCCCTGCTGTCACTGCAGAGCACCACTCTGGTTCTGGTCATGGTCATGTTGGCAGGCTTGTGGTTTCAGCGTTCGCGGGTCATCCTGGCATTCGCCGTTTGGCTGGTGCTGTTTGATGTGGCCATGGTGATCTTGTTCTCCTTGTTGCAGGTGCAGATGAGTACGGTGGGGCTCATGCTGAGCCCTATGGAATGGTATGGCTTTGTGTGCCGGCTGCTTGGAGACCCCTTCTGGCTGTCTTTTGTTATCACCCACGGCCTTTTGGAGAGGAGCGGTGCAGGCTCCAGACGCCAGAGAGGCAGGAACACGATGAGCACAGAAAAAGCATTGCTGAAACTGAACTTTCATGAACAAACAGCATTTGACAGCAGTGTTTAACATGGAGTCTAAATGGAGATGTACTCTTAAAATGTTTTCCTGGGGGAGGGTTCTGCTGACAATGAATGTCAAATGAATATTAGAAAGATATAGATATACAGTTGGATTTTTAAAAAACAATTATTTACTAAAAATGTTTTTACAACTTATTTATCTTATTTATTTGGAGTTTTTTGGGTACTAAACAGTAGAACAATCTGTAAAACATTAAAAACAAAAAAATTAAAGCTGTAACCGGGTAATTTTACTCAATGTACTGAATGCCGTCTTAATGAAAGAGTAAAATCAAAAAGGCCTTGAATTAATGGATGCTATCTTGAAATAACAGAATATAAAAGGCCAATGCTTCTACCAGACTCTTTTCTGTATTCGTAGGGCTGAGCATTATAACAATATTTATCGTCATTGTGCTAAATTACATCACCTCATGTCACGGTATGCTTTTCCGAGCATATGGTGGATATCATCAGTACTTAAAGGGTCCATATAAAATATTTGTCCTGTATTTCCATTTTTCCCTAAGATCAACCTATGACATCTCTGCGGATTTATGTACCAAAAACAGTCATATTTCATTTTTATGTGACAACTTGTCTTTACCTCTTAGAATTGAACAGGCTGGTTTTGTTACTGTGCCTTTAAGAATGATATATGTAAATGTCCATAATATGGTGATGTATATTGTACTGTGAAAATATCTTGTGAAAAGGTATTCTGATGTTTTAATTTTGCCATGTTGTCCACCCCTATACATCACCATGCCAGCCAAGAAAAAATGTTATGCCGACTAGCTTAAAGGATGCTTTACACTTATAGTTTAGTGTATAGAACTGCTGTGTGATGTACAAACTTAAACCTTTCTGGACGTAGATTTACTTTACTTTAGGTCACGCTGCTCTTTCAGGTAGTGACTATTGTTTAGTGCTTGATCACTGAGCATAAAAATAGAACAATGCAAAAGCAGACAAAAACAGCAGGACACCTTTGTTGGTTACCTTTTTTTTAAAGATCTGTAGGTTTTCTGTCAGACATTTTGTCACAGGCTTTCCAAAGTTCCCCTTAAGACAGCAGAGCACAAAAAAGCTGAAATATGGAGCCAGAGAAAGAGTGCTTCTAAAATGTAGGTCATATCACGTGACCCACATGAATGACAATAGTCCTCGGAGGCCCCAAGAAAATGTGGCCCACAGATGATCATCTTTGACTGCTCCTACGTTTTCCTTTACATTATTTTATAATGCAAGACACAAATTAAGTTTGACAGGCATGACAGCAGGCTTTTGACTCAGAAGGCACAGCGGTATTACACTTTAGATGTGTGAAACCCTTTAAAACAGCAGGTGAACCAGCATTACTGAAAATACATACAATTCTTTTAAACAATAACTAGTATTTTTTATACTATATTTTAAATCACATTTAATGATCTTTTAAACTGGATTAGAATTATGATTGACTCTTTCATGATTTAAATATGGCTATATATACAACCCTAGGCAAACGTTTGGGCACCCCTGGTTAAATTACATGTATTGTTAAATTTGTCTAAGTGAAAATAAGTTAACAGAGAACACAGACAACACACGTCTGCACATTTTAATGCACAATTACTGTTTATTTGCTGAATTTAACATACTGGGGGAAAACAACAGAAAATGGACCTGTCTAAATGTTATGGCATATTTTATGTGTTAATGTTACACTCAGCAACTAAATTAATTTTGCACAAAAATATGCAGGAAAATTGTTTCCCTGTAGAGGATGTGTTAACTTCAATCAATACGATTGATATTTTAAATCAATAAAATAAGTCATTAGAACAGGAGTTTTTACACTTTTTGCATTCTATATTCTTGTCATCTAAAGCAATTACATGTTTGATCACAATTCTTAGTGATTTAGCTAAGCAGGTTATCAATCTAACCATTTCATTTAAATTTATCAGATTTTCAGGAAATTGGGTCAAAGCAGAAGCAATCGAGGCTGGAACAAAGATTAAAGATGATCAATGAACTAGGCACTTTTACCAAATGAAAAGAACTATGGACTGTGAACAATTAATTTATAATTAATAACAACAAAATATTAGTGTTTACACTGTTAATAACTGCAGTTTTGTTTGGGGTGCTGTATGGTCTGCTGTTTAACTGACTCAGCGTGAGTAAGGAAAATATGTTTAAAGAGCCCTTTTCATAGAAACTGAAATTTCCTCAGTTTTCTGAAATAAGACTTTGATGTAGTGTGTAGTAAACGCTTAACGTTTCAAAATGTACCATTCACTCTGCAGTCCATATGGGTCATATATGGAAGCTAAGATGCACAAACAGCCCATTTTGAGTTCACTGATTTTGTGAAGTCAGGAAAACCAACACATTTACATAAATCCGCCTGTTCAGCCCACAGCAGTTCAGTCCTGCCCACTCACATTAAAGTTACCTATCACGCTTGTTTCCTAAAATTCTGTGTTTAGGAATCAGAAAAGGAAGTTATGATTAATGTTTTAACTTGGTCTGCTTTCTGAAGTGATGCACCCATTACTTTCTGTTATGCACTCATCACTTTAACAGCTCCATAAGCTCATTCTAATTGCACTACTGTTTATATTTGCACTATTTATACCCACAGACCTTAATGTGTATGTGCCTTTAGTGTTAATTTCAGGACCTTCTATATTTATATATTGTTATTATTCTATTTTACTACAATTAGTGTTTATTTTTACTATTAGTGTTTAGTGTTTTTTTATGTCTATTTAAATACACACTTTTCCTGTTTACTTTCTATTTAATGTTATTGCTACACCAGGGGGTCTGAGAGTAACGCAATTTCAATACTCTGTATGTCCTGTACATATTGTAGTATTGACAATAAAGCTGACTTGACTTGACTTGAATGAGGTTCACTACAGGACAGCCATCATTTAGACAGATCATTTACAAGAACCAGCCTTGTCAGTGCAGTTTTATTCACTGATGTATCATTAACTCAGAAGTGTACAAAGTCATCTTGGATGCAAACCTGCAGAAGTCTGCAAAGAATCTGCTCAAACAGTAATGATCTTAAACACACCAACCACCTTTTGAAAAAATACTTTACCAAAAAGTAAATTATGGTCTTTGGGATTGTCTGTTTAAAATAAACGCCACTCAGTTTGACATTTTGCTTCCTAACACAATGAACCTAATACATTTTAGGTACGGCACAAACAAATACTTTTTAGGCTATTGCAGATAGTGCTCTACTCCAGACTCACTGCCTTCATAATTTCACATTGCAAGCATGAGGTTACAGTGGTTTCACCTGTTTTCACCAAAAAAAAAAAAAACAGTTATACAGCCTAAAGTATGCGCAGTAATTCCCACACAGTAGAGCTGCTTAAAGAGCCCATATCATAATTTTTTCTAAATTTTGTATTTTACTTTCTTTCTTTTTTATACCTGAGGTTCGTTCATGATGCTTGTGTGGTTTTATACACCAAAACAGTCATAATTCTTTATCTTTAAAACCTCTCTTTATCCTTCAGTCCCTCAGTTTGACGTTGTGCGATTTTTTCTATTCTCTGACACGAATATCACTTTGTTAAACATTTTATGAAGTCACCTAAATAACTTCATTAACGTTTACTAAGGGTTAAATGGTGTTCAAATACTTTTGGGATCACTGTATAGGCTGCGTCCAAAATGCATACTACCACACTACATAGTGTGTGAAAACAGAACACCGCTGTACTGTAGTGCGGTGTCCAGTGTGTGGTTTTGGACGCGTCTTATTAAAGTAAATAAAGTGAAAAGGCCGTCTAACTTTTACCCTAAACACTACTTGGCTGACCCGTATTACTGGTAATTAACATTATATGACAAACACGACGTATATTTCGTTGATATAACGATTTAGCTCATTGTTTTATAATAGTGAAACACTTACTACGGTGCCTAGGCAGCATCGTTACGTCACTGCCCGGGGTTTCCATCTACACTGAGCGCTGTGTGAGTGAGTGAGAGAGCTCGACGGCGTCATGGCGGAGGCCGGCTGTTGTGGGACCCGCGGCTGAAATGCCTGCTGCCTTTTCCCTTTACTTGTGCTCGGGGAACACCAGCAAGTACTTCAGATTTCAAACGGCGACGTTTCTGAGTTGGGACACGGGAGTTTAAAGGAGAACCAAACTTGGCTGAGTGTGAAGTTGGACTGTTTCTGAGAGGCTGCTCTCAACTGAGAGCGAGCTAGCTGGCTGCGGCTAGCTGCTAACGTTAGCTAGCCGACTGAAATAAGAAAAAAAGGGGGACGGTGGGAGAGCGGGACCTGGCAGCGCGCTGGAGCCAGGCAGGTAACACAGCACGAAGCGAAAATCCGACCTCGGGAGATTTCAGCCTTAGAAGTAACGGAGGAGGGCTTCGCTCGTAAGCCCGGCGGTCGAAGGTCGGAAGCCGGCGAATAACACGCTATTGTGGCTCATTATTTTGGGAAGTGTACGAGCGATGAAAACAAGCGCTAAGCGGCGCAGATCCCGGCCAAAGATGATGCAGTGCGGGAATTAGCGATCAGCTTGGGGAGGTCATCGAACCACACGCCGCGCGTTAAAGTGCTGTGAGAAACACGGCTGTTCAAACAGCTCTATAAACTTTTCTCACTGTGTTAGAAATGCAGATGGGACGAGCTAACGCCAGAAAAGCCAGCAATCCGAACTCTAAAGGTTTTGGTCTGGCAGTTAGCCTAGCCTGCGCTGCTAGCTAGCTAGCCAGACGGCTAAATAAATATAGATGTAAACTAGTCTCACATTTTAAGCATAAAACGCGAACCTGTAGTGCATGGTAACGTTAGTAAAACGTGCTTATGGTGTTAAGTTATTTGCATACAGTTTTCACTAAATACTAAATATCCGCCCCGTGTTTTGCATAGATTGGGTAAAACGTTGCGTTAGCCAAATAGCTAACACGCTGCTCTCACTGCCGGACAGAGACAGTTAGCGTGATTGTGCTAACTCGCTAGCATGCTAAACAGCTAGGTTAACTCGGCTAACGTAGCTCAGTGGCTAAGGCAGCTCTTCTGAGCCGTGTTTGAAATGTGCCGCGGAAAATTTCAGGTTGGTGTTTTGGGGGAACACTTTGACTTTCTTCTTATGTAGAACCGTTTTTGTTTTCCGTGTTTGCGCTTTATTGGCGAACCTTTGTCTGGTGCTGCTCGCCTCTTTGTTGGCGGCGCTCAGCACGCGAGTCCCCGGTGTTGTGTAGCCGCTGTTGGAAGCGCTCCGCCCGGGGTCATTGTCCAGGAGAGACCGCCTGAACTCGAGTTTCACACCGCTCAGGCCTAAGAGAAGGCCCAGACGGCATCCAAACAACTCTTGGCACATTTCTCATCATCTGGTCCCTAAGTGCTTTTCTTATTTCATCATAAACGAAAAAACTGATGAGAAGTGAAGCAAGTGCTGATTATTTTAATATGTAGGCCTCATGAATTCACTTAACATTAAACGGTATGTCTTAATACGAGAGTTCATTCATTTAGAAAAGCTGGTTCCTGAATGGAGCGCGTACTGTTAAGACGCGGCTGAGCTGAAAAGCACATCTAAAAGTGACAAGAATACTTTATGTATTTTACCTCACACTCTGTGTTTACACTAAATGCTTAGACTGCGTTTTAATTTGTTTCGCTTTGGCTGTGGCAGTTCACGATTTGATGACAAACTTTGATACCACTTGGAGCATCAGTACATTTTAGGCCTTAATTTTTATCATAAGTCGATTGGGTCAAAAAGGTCTATTTCTGCATACATGAAGGCTAATCTCACTAGAGTTGTTAAGTTGATGTTTGTTTTTCTGGAGGTTTAAATATTCTAACCATCCCGTTTTGTCCTACTCAGGTGAACTTCGCTGTTCAAGGCTGGAAGTTTGGGATATTTAAGAACAAAATCAAACATCGCAGCAAACATTCTTGTTTTAAAGGCCCAAGCATTTGAGCCACAGTCATGGATGGCCGCAGTGAAGATGAAAGTGTGAGCAACAGTAGTGGAGAGTCCAGGTAAGGACAACATTTGGTTGCTATTATAAACGGTCAGTATAGCAAATTAATGTACGCTTCACAGCATGCAAAGTAGTGCTGTGACTTTGAATGTTTGTAGAGAGTGTAATCTCCATATTGTGCAAATTTGACATGTTTGGTCCAGAGGCACTCCCAAAGACTTACCTGGTAAAAGCGCTGCTTAGAAGTACAGACGGGTGCTCTACAGCTGGTCTTAAGAAATGATCTTAGAGATGTTCTTCAGCTATCAAGATGAGGTTTTTGGCTCTGCAGTTTGGCTTGTTTTTAAGTCTAACATTGGGGGTGGGCAGTACGGTGATCTTTGTTGTAATAAATTGCATCACGCTATGCCTTTTTCTCAGAGTATGGAGGATATTGTTAGTACTTAATGGACTCTGAACAGCTGCATGTGTCAAATACAGTGCATTGTTAGTCATGTTTAATTGGATTTAGTGTAGATCTGTGTGTGAAATTTAGTCACTCACTTTTTCATAGCCTTTTTAAATTGTGGCACTACTGTTCTTGAAGGGTTTGGACGTTCTAGCTTAACCATAAGCAAACCTCTGAATGTTGTTACATGTCATGTATCTTGATTTTTTTTTCAACTGGTTAATAATAGAGCTTATTGTGTGTTTTTGGTGGCTCAGCACCAACTTTAGCTATAAAGCTGCAAACAAATTCTTATTCCATTTTCCTTAATTATTATATGACAACCCTGTTGTTTTAAGACCAATTTAACACAAACTTGTTTCATTGAATGCCTGAAATGAAAGTGAAACAAAACAACAGCCAAGTAAAAATACAGCCCTATTTAACCTTTAACACCAAACAATCTTTTGTTTCAGTAACTCTGATGATGAGTCTGGATCTGGGTCCGGGTCGGGTTCTGGCTCCGGCTCCAGCTCCAGCAGCAGTAGCTCCAGCAGCAGCCAGTCAGGAAGCAGCGACTCAGGAAGTGGCTCAGACTCGGGCAGCCAATCTGACTCTGAGTCTGAGAAATCCAAGGGGAAGAATGATCAGGACAGCAACCCTGCCAAGATTGATACATCAGAAGTAAGACTTCACACATCTGCCTAAAAGATTAATGTGGCTTTTTGTAAATATATTTCTTACAAAGAGTGAAATTTCTATGCTAGTTGTCACGAATTACAGTGATACATTACAGTGCAGTGATACATGATGTAGTTCTGTATTATGATTAATTTGTGTCTGGAAATCCATTCTTAAGGCTGATTTCTTCATTTTTATTTTTATTTTTTGTTTTCTCTGTTTTGCAGTTTTGGAAGTCTAACCCAAGTATCCTGGCAGTGCAGAGGTCAGCCATGCTCAGGAAGCAGCAGCTCCAGCAGCAGCAGCAACGGCAACAGAGCTCCTCAAACAGTGACTCCGATGAGGTAGCGCCTTTTCAAACAGCATTTTAGAAGTGCTGTTTTAAATCATTGTTTATATTTTTATTGCACTGATCTTTGATCAACTCTTTGTTTCTCAAATGCAACAACTAGGCCCATATTCATGAAGCTTCTCAAAGTGGGAGTGCTGGGTTAGATCAGCACTTCTACCCTGAGAAGCTTAATGAATACATGCTTAGGCCTCTGCTGGTCTGGTGGTACTAATGGTTCTCTTACAAAGAGATCACGCTTCTCTGCCTGAAAGCTCATTATAGACTTCATCCACCACAAGAATTGCTAAAGTGTATTGAAATACAAAAGGTGATAATTCCAGAAAATTGGCCTTAAGTGTTAAGTTGTCTTATCGCTCATGGATTAATAACTTGATTTGGATTTCACTTATTGCCTTCGTTATGTTCTGCCCCAAAGGAGTCCTCCAGCAGTGATGACTCAGACGATGACTCGTCAAGGAAGAAAAAGAGTAAAGGGTGAGTCCTGTCGCTAAGCATCAAGGCAAACTCTGCAGGTCGTTGATATCAGGGTACTGATTTTCTTTTTTTGTTCTTAAATGTTTTTCCTTATGTTTGTGACACAGGTCCTCAGACTCCGATTCAGGGTCTGGCTCTGGGTCTGGTTCAGGGAGCGACTCTTCTGATTCTTCAGCTGAGGAAGAGGAGAACAGTGAAGAGTCCGTTTCAGACTATGAGCCCAGCCACAAAGTTAAAAGCAGAAAACCACCTAACAAGTAAGGCAGTATGCCTGCTCTTCTAAAGTTGATGTATATTGAGCAGCCAATGAGTGAAGCAGAGTGGCAGCAGTTCCCGCTCCCCGCTTGAACTGTTCTGTAATCACCTGCTCTTTTTTTTTTTTGTTTGTTTTTGTTTTCTGCTCCTCGCCTACCCTCTGCTCACACTTTAGAGACAACTGCTCCATTTATGCTTTGTCTGCTCCATATTATTCGTCCTTATGGTGTGTTTTATATTTTCTTTTGTATATGTTTAGCAAGAACATAACACTTAACTTTTCACTTTGTGTATGGTGTAATTTATGACTTATTAAATGAAAAACTAATTGTCACTAATGAAAAGGGTTAATATTTACTAAATTGCTGAATTTGCTGTGATAAGTTGGTGCTGTTACTTCCAGGTGGCTAGCAGTTGCTCTAGTTTTTCTGCCCTCCCCTAAATATTTGTAACATCCATGCTTTGTTTCATGTCTGTTGAAGTATTCAAATTTCCATCGCACCAAAATCGCCTGTTCACAGTGTGAAGTTTGTGCTTATGGCTGTTATCTTTGTCATTCTGTAAATTTAAGCTGCTGGTCTAATCAGAGAAGAAAGGCTCTGAAACTTTAGCTAACTTCATTACCTCAAGGCAGTGCATTACGGTGTATTTTTACAGTACTGTTGCCACCATCAGGTGAAAGGAAAAATGGCTGTGCCACTTATAATGCTCTCTTGAACAGAAGAGAGAGGCTAGTTATAATCTGCCTGCAGGCTGGGTTTGGCTCTGGGGCCGGACTTTGGACACCCCCATCTTGCAGATACTGGATTATCAAAATTGGTTAGAATGTCCATCTCTAATACTGGAGCGAGAGAGAGAACATTGTAGCACGATCACAGACACGGTTTCCTTCTAAAAAGCTGCTCCTCACTCCGGGAAAAATCGTACCACTCTGCTGCTTTTCTGCACCACTCACAAGCTCTGATATTGAGCTGGACCCCCCTAGAGAGCTAATATTATATGGTGTCTGAAAGCATTTATCACTTGTGTTAGCAAATCGGTGTGTAATGTTCTTCTGTAAGAAGTGCTGCAGTTTGCTTTGTCACTTAGCAGAGGTTACTCTCTCTAATTTACCTGTCCTGTCCTTCAGGGCCAACGCCAGAAATGGGAAAAAGAGCAAGGCTCCAAAAAAGAAAGCCTCAGGCTCTTCATCAGAAGATGAGGATGACTATAAGAAGGCTCTGGCAGGTCCTCGCCGGCAGGCCACGGTCAACGTGAGCTACAAAGAGGATGAAGAGCTGAAGACAGACTCGGATGATCTGGTGGAAGTGTGTGGGGAGGATGTGCCCCCACCTGAGGAGGACGAATTTGAGACCCTGGAGAGAGTGATGGCCATGAGAATAGGACGGAAAGGGGGTAAATACATTTAATTGAATTTTGTGGAAATTGTCGTGTGTGTGTGTGTGTGTGCTGACCAAAGATCTTGTAATTAGAATTCCAAATATATGTATCATTATCAATTTAGACTTATTTTCTGTGCTTCTTATCAATTACAATCTTTGCTTGAGCAGGCTCTCTTGGTATGTAGTCTGTTGATTGCACATAAATGCACATGGTGTAGGATTTAACATTACTTTCTGTTTGTTGCATACAGCTACTGGAGCCACTACCACAGTTTATGCTGTTGAAGCTGATGGGGACCCCAACGCCAACTTCAACCCAAACAAGCAGCCAGGAGATGTGCAGTACCTTATCAAATGGAAGGGATGGTCACACATTCACAATACGTGGGAGACTGAGGAGACACTGAAGCTCCAAAATGTGAGGGGCATGAAGAAACTGGACAACTTCAAAAAGAAGGAGCAGGAAAAAAAGAAGTGGTGAGACTTCAATATGACTGGTGTCATGGGCTCTAAGCTCCAAGATACTTCCACATCTGTGGAAGTAGATGGTGTTAATAAAATTTACTTTTTCAGATGTGGCAGTGTCAGGTAATGATTTGCATTTATAAACTTAAACAGATGGCAGTGTTTTGTTTTGAGTTCTTTCAAACAAGCACCCAGTCAATGCCGCATTTCTCTTAACTAAGTTTCTGTACTGCTAAAATTTAAATCAGTTTCTTGTATAACACCAATGCCAGTGTGAGGTAAACCACACTAGAGAGTGACTTCACGCTTTCCATCATCCTTGCAGGCTCAAAACGGCTTCACCTGAAGATGTGGAATACCTTAACTGCCAGCAGGAACTCATGGATGACTTGCATTCACAGTATCAACTCGTGGAGAGGATTATTGGTAAAGGGATACTTTGACTTCACTCACATTTAATAATCACATGCTGTTTGATTTACAGTCTCAACTGTGTATTAATGCTAATGTTGCTCTCAATTTTGCCAGGTCATTCAAATCAGAAGTCAGCAGCAGGCTACCCAGACTATTTGTGCAAATGGCAAGGGCTTCCTTACTCGGAATGCAGCTGGGAAGATGGGGCACTTATTGCTAGGAAGTTCCAGAAGTGCATAGATGACTACATGAGCCGGAACCAGTCCAAAACGATCCCCTCCAGAGACTGCAAGGTAACAGGCCTGCAGGGGCCGCATGCTCTTAAGCAGCCCTGATGAAACTTTAATAAATCCATGTGTACTGCAGTCTGTTTTAATGGCTTCATGCAGTGAAGGAATGCATGCTCTTGCTCAGGTTTTAAAGCAGAGGCCGCGGTTTATGCCTATGAAGAAACAGCCTCATTATATTGGCGGAGATGGACTTGAGCTTAGGGACTACCAGCTGGACGGCTTGAATTGGATGGCCCATTCTTGGTGCAAGTATGTTGAGTCACATTTTTTAGTTGTTATCTGTGAAGAGTACTTTATCAAGTTATAGATGTTTCTTCAAGTGTAGTGTAATTGTTTTTTTTGCTGTCTTATGTAATTGCTGTTAATATGCTAGTCTGTGTTTCAGTAGATTTAAGATGTAATGAATTGTGAAGAGACATGATTATGTGCACTTTATTTAATCCATAAATACAGTGTGCCTTTCATTTCTGAACCCTTGCTTGTCACAAGCTTATTTAATCAATTTGAAGGGAATGACTTTCAATCCTTGTCAATCCTCCAGAGTTGTATATGGTTTGACCAAGAAATTTAATACTGATCATCGTTGTTTTGTTGTTTTTTTTGTTTTTTTTGATTGTCCTTTTTGCAGTGTTTGAATCATGTTGTTTACCATCTCTTGTGTTTCTCCAGGGGAAACAGCTGTATTCTAGCGGATGAGATGGGCCTGGGGAAGACCATTCAGACCATCTCTTTTCTGAACTACTTGTTTCACGAGCACCAGCTCTATGGACCTTTCCTGCTGGTAGTGCCATTGTCCACCCTCACCTCCTGGCACAGGGAGATAAACCTCTGGGCTCCACAGATGAATGTTGTTGTCTACCTGGGGGATATAAACAGTAGGACCATGGTATGAAACCACAAAAAATGTACAATTTCTTATTGTGCAATCAGCTTGTAGATATTGGCAAATTATATAAGACTGCCTAATCTGCTCTTTGTTTCCTTACTAATGGAAATGTTATTATCTAGTTGCATTATACTTACTAGTGTGCCTGGGGGAGAGTAAAACTAAGTATTCTTAATGAAGTCAATTCTACTCTGAGAATGAACAGATTTTTAAAATGATGACAAACTTGAGTGTGCCTTGATGACTCTAGCCAGTCTGTTGGTCACAGGTGTTTCTGTAATCTTTTTTACTCCAGTCATGCTGCCACGTCAGTTATTATAAGGTTATTACAAGGAAATATCAAGTGTTCTGTCCAATTATTATGAAGCATTATGAAGCATTTTATATTAAATATGTTTTCTGTTTATATTTAGATCCGAACTCATGAATGGATGCATCCGCAGACCAAGCGACTAAAGTTAAATATTCTCCTCACTACATATGAAATTCTCCTGAAAGATAAGGTTTGTGCTGGTCTAAAATGCTCATTCAGCTTTCATTCTCCTGTTTTTGTTCAGTTTCATTTGACAGTGTTGGTTTCTGACTTTCAGTTATGCCTTTTAGTTTTTTGTTTCCTCTTGCTTTCTGAGTAATATAAGCTGAAATGATGAAAGCAGGGAAGCTATTATGCAACTTCTTGTATTAGCTTGTCAGTCCTTTATGACTCTAAATTGTCAATTCATCCACATATCTGTGAGGAAATAATAAGAACAAATTTTGTAGAAGCTAAAAATTTTAAATGGCTGCCACATGTTCTTCTGTCTTGTTCAGTCTTTTCTGGGGAATGTGAGCTGGGCTTTCATTGGAGTCGACGAGGCGCACAGGCTGAAGAATGACGATTCACTTCTGTATAAGACCATGATAGAGTTTAGGTCCAACCATCGGCTCCTAATCACAGGAACACCTCTCCAGAACTCTCTTAAAGAGCTGTGGTCTCTCCTCCACTTCATCATGCCAGAGAAGTATGACCCCACTACATTAATGCTGTTTTTGATACTTTTGGTTTGGGTTGTGTTTTTTTTATTTTTTTTATGTTGTTTTTTTTAATATAGCTGAAAAATGAGTTCTTTGTCCCAGGCCCAACCAATGGATTGTAATTTGTTTTTATTGTTGTTCTTGGAGTGAACAAACTAAGAGTTAAGTTTACACCATTTACTTTTGGGTGTTGGTTTTCAGGTTTCACTCGTGGGAGCTATTTGAGGAAGAGCATGGTAAGGGAAGAGACTCAGGCTACACCAGCCTGCACAAGGAGCTGGAGCCCTTCCTGCTGCGCAGGGTCAAGAAGGATGTGGAGAAGTCACTGCCTGCCAAGGTGGAGCAGATCCTCAGGGTGGAGATGAGCGCCATGCAGAAACAGTACTACAAGTAAGCAAAGCGGCATCATTCATTTAAAGGCTTGAGTTGCATAGATCATACGTTTTCGAAACGGAGATATGGTATCTATTTGTTTAATATTTATGTATACAGGTCACTGTGCATGAAGATCACTCAGACAGTTTCAAGATTGTCTTTGTATTGCAAACATTGCACTTAATATGGTCTCATAGGTGGATCTTGACAAGAAACTACAAGGCCTTGAGTAAAGGCATGAAAGGGAGCACATCAGGGTTCCTCAATATCATGATGGAGCTGAAGAAGTGCTGTAACCACTGCTACCTCATCAAACCGCCTGAGGACAATGACTTCTACAACAAAGCAGAGGCCTTGCAGGTAGGAATGGTGCAGAGTCTGTCTTATTCAGATTAAGGAATAAAACATCAGCAGTACTGTCTCAGGTTTATGTGAGAGGTGTTGGAGCTGTAATATACCTTCTTAGGAAAAATACTGCTAAGATTGTCTGACTTGTGTCTGACTGTTTAGTGTTTAAAATGTTGTCATACTATGCATGTTACATGTTGAATTGCTGGTTAAATTGCTGGCTTATTTTTTTATCACTGAAGCGGACATGTAGAAAGATGAGGCTGGTGCCTGACTGCTGGTTGAATCTATTTACCTCATCCACAGCATTTGATACGCAGTAGTGGGAAGCTGGTCCTGCTGGACAAGCTGCTGGTACGGTTGAAGGAACGTGGCCACCGTGTGCTCATCTTTTCCCAGATGGTCCGGATGCTGGACATCCTGGCTGAGTACCTGAAGAGCCGCCAATTCCTGTTTCAGGTAAAAGGCATTTTAGCTCTAGCCGTTGCTTTTGGTGCTTTAGCATAAAGATCGGTCAGTGGAAAAAGCTTTGTAGGTTAGACTGGTAAAAGTGTTTTGTCTGTGCAGAGATTGGATGGTTCCATTAAGGGCGAGATGAGGAAGCAGGCTTTGGATCATTTCAACGCTGAAGGCTCTGAAGTAAGTGTGGAAACTTCCTGCTTCTGTGTGTGTGTCTATGTAGTGGTGTGTGTGTGTGTGTGTGTGTGTGTGTGTGTGTGTGTGTGTGTGTGTGGGTTTTTTTTTTTTTTAAATGAATATATACCTACATGTACTACAGTCTTCTAGAAGCAAAAATGTTTGTGCAAAACGGACTGCAGACTGAGGAGCTTAATGACATTTGTTTTTTCAGGATTTTTGTTTCCTTTTGTCCACGCGAGCGGGTGGTCTGGGTATTAACCTGGCATCTGCAGATACTGTGGTTATCTTTGACTCTGACTGGAATCCCCAGAATGACCTGCAGGCTCAGGCCAGAGCTCACAGGATTGGGCAGAAACGACAGGTAAACCATAAATTGATTTATAGTTTTATCTGTAAATTTTTTTGGGGGTAATGCTTATACCAGAATTGCACCTTGGGAAACAATAAATTATGTGGTACAGGGTGAATTCAGATTTATGATGAATGATTTGTATAATAATGTGGCACAGAATAATAAGATTGATAGACCTGTTATACAAATCATCTGTCATTTTGCATAACACAGATCAGTCCCTGCTACCATTCGTTATTAGCATTTTTAGTGAAGTACTCTTTTTAAAGGGCTGCCTTTTTTTTTAATAATTGAAATTGACCTGTATGTTTTCAACCCTCTTTTAATACCGTTCTTTGTTTGTTTTAGGTAAACATCTACCGTCTGGTGACCAAGGGCTCTGTGGAGGAAGATATCATTGAGAGAGCCAAGAAGAAGATGGTGCTGGACCACCTTGTAATTCAGAGAATGGACACCACAGGAAAGACCGTCCTTCATACTGGTGCTGCTCCCTCCAGGTATCTACACAAAACGTCACACCTGCAGTGATGTACATTTCAACAATCTCTGACTGAATGGAACTTAATGTTGCAGCATTATCTTAATGATTAAAGATTTTAATGGTCGTGTCTCTCTGGCTTTTATAAGTAGTTCAACCCCTTTCAACAAGGAGGAGCTGTCTGCTATTCTGAAGTTTGGTGCTGAAGAACTCTTTAAGGAGCCAGAAGGGGAGGAGCAAGAGCCTCAGGTGTGTTGAGATGTCGCCACCTACTGTTTTCACATAGTGTTTTGTTTAGACATATTGATGCTCCTGGATCAGATTCTTATGCCAACACAGAAATGATGTCAGTGTATATTAGTGTTTACTTTGATGCTGCAGGAAATGGATATTGATGAAATTCTGAAGAGAGCAGAAACCAGGGAAAATGATCCTGGCCCATCCACTGTAGGAGAAGAACTTCTCTCTCAGTTCAAGGTATGTAGCTGCCAACTTTTCATCTAGGACATTGACTCATTTTTTGCAGTCTTTTACCTTTGAGCTTTTATGTGGGGTATTATGAATACTTTTTTTTGCATATTTCAAAATGTTCTTTTTAGTGGACTTGCAGTTGAGCTATGAAGATATCCAGAACATTTATCACTGATGCCTGATGTAACAGACTTGGTTTTCTTTCAGATGTTCTGAGTCTGAGATGATGTGTATGGTGCATGTTTCATGGTACCTTCCACTAATCAGTTCCTATCCCCCCCACCAGGTGGCAAACTTCTCTATGATGGAGGAGGAGGAGATTGACATGGATGCAGATGGCAACCAGAAGAACTGGGACGACATCATCCCAGAAGAGCAGCGGCGGAGGATGGAGGAGGAAGAGAGGCAGAAAGAGTTGGCAGAGATTTACTTGCTTCCCCGCATGAGGAACTGTGCCAAACAGGTTAGTGGGTAGTCACATACTTGAACTGCTTTAGTGAATGTGGTACAACCAGTTAGTGTTTGAAAGTGATCATGTTTTTGCAGAACTGTGTAACATTTCAGAACATTGAGCTATCTAAAGCAGTACTGATTCCGATTAGGAAAGGCAGAATGTGTTGCTGATTCAAGTCTCTACCCACTGTTATGAAGATATTTTGAATGGCTAACATTTTTACTATTGTATACTGACATGCAAAGCTCAGTGCTATGAGATGCTGAGTATTGTATTTTGGTCATACTTATAGATAAGCTTTAATGGTAATGAGGGCAGACGAAGTCGGAACAGAAGATACTCTGGCTCAGACAGTGACTCTGCGTCGGACAGAAAGCGGCCTAAGAAGCGAGGTAGACCTCGAACTATTCCACGAGAGAATATTAAGGGCTTCAGTGATGCTGAAATACGGAGGTAATTGCCACTTAAGTCACCAAAATGTAAATATGAGCTTCTATATTCTGAATTGTTATGAACATGTTATTAGAAAACACTTCCTTGAACTGATGAGTTAAGGTGTTTTCTTCTGCTCCATGCCTGACGGAATCTTTTTCATGTGTAAATAGATTTATCAAGAGTTATAAGAAGTTTGGTGGTCCTTTGGAAAGGTAAGTGTTGCCATTTTTAGCAGAATTGTTTTGTCTGAATTTCTTTTCCATGCAGGCCAATTTCCTTGATCTCACTTATTGTATCTAACAGACTGGATGCTATTGCCCGGGACGCTGAGCTGGTGGATAAATCAGAGCATGACTTGAGGCGATTGGCAGAGACTGTTCACAATGGCTGCCTAAAAACCCTGAGGGAAAACCCCTGTGGACCAGAGAAGACCTCAGGCAAGTAGCTTGTATAATTCACCTCATATGTTGTAATGTTATAGTAGTGTTTCCCATTTGGTAGACGTCTTTTATCATAAGCTGTGAGTTCTTGCATGCAGTAAAAATGGATTTTGGTAGAGATAATCAATGTTCTTTTGTCTTGTGTGTTTAGGAGGCAGACGAGGCAAGGTGAAAGGACCCACTTTCAGGATCTCAGGGGTTCAAGTCAATGCTAAGCTAGTAATCTCTCATGAGGAGGAACTGGCTCCACTGCACAAGGCCATTCCTGCAGACCCAGAGGAGAGGAAGAGGTACTTTGCCTGACAAGCTTCCTCCAAAGCTCCCTCCCAACCCTTCTTACCATGCCTTCCTTGTTAGCTTAAAACTGTATTTGAAGTCCACTGTGTGATCAAGAGAGTTTGCTGTCTGAGATTAAATGTAATTCTATTTGTTCAGGTACACACTTCCTTGCCATGCTAAAGCAGCTCATTTTGACATTGAGTGGGGCAAAGAGGATGACTCCAGCCTTCTTATTGGGATTTATGAGTACGGCTATGGGAGCTGGGAAATGATTAAGATGGATCCAGACCTCAACCTCACCCATAAGGTATGACAAGGTGGCCTAAGAAAAATGAGGGTTGGAATGTGTATTTCTTAGCTGAAGTTAGAAACTTAAGTATTTTCAATTTCTGCCTCTCTGTTACTTTTGCTAAAAATTTGATCATGGAACACAAGCTTTTATTTTTCATTGGTCTAACCAGCTCTTACCAGATGATCCTGATAAGAAGCCACAGGCCAAACAGCTCCAGACACGAGCCGACTACCTCATCAAATTGCTCAGTAAGGACCTTGCGAAGAAGGAGGCCCAAAGGCAAACCGGCACGGTGAGAGTCTCTTTAATTATCCAGTATAAACTTTATCTTTGTCACTGTAATTTTGATATATTGAGTATCTGTAAGAGTTGAACAAATATCCAACTGCAGAGAAGGGAGGAATAAACACTGAAAATAATGTAGGGCTGTAGGCTTATTTTCTTTTAGGTGACAGCAGTGGTATTGCACAAAGTGTACACAGGAACATATTATTCTCCTGAAATCATGTTTTATTTTTCAATAAAAAAAAAACAGCTGAGGGGCATTGGTAGGTTTTCATGTTGGATGAGTAACAAACGCTGCCTCTTCAGATAAGCTAATGACTTGGCAGAGCTAACAAGTGTTGGTCACCATTTAATTTTAAAGCCACAGATTTTTTTGCTTTTTTGGCTGATGTTATTTTTAAGGGTGTTTCCCTTTTAAATACCCTATTCCACAGACCATGCAAATGTAAATTAGTCCCTTCTTTCAGATTTAAAACTTAATTAACCTTCAAGTGACCGAGCATGTCCTATCAGATTTGCTTTTAATTTAAAAATTCTACAAATAAGGTTTCACATCATTATGATCTTTAATCATTTAATATAAGCTGTGAAATGCTCAAATGTGAAACTAAACAGTTTTCTGATCAATTAAATATGTGCAGTATTTCACTTCCTAAGCTAAAAAACCTGCCACCACAAGCAGTTATGAGCTTGAGCACACAGGGAACAATGTTCTATGGGCAGCTTGTGTGAACTGAATGCAGTAAAGGTCCAATAGAAATTTCACTAAAATTGCAAAATAACATGCATAAGAAATTATAGGCTTTTTTATCTTTTAAATATTGCTGTACATTCATGCTGTACTGTCTTTACATCTCTCGCTCCTCCTTTCCATCCTTATGGTTTGCCATCACAGAGTACGTTTTCACACCTTTTTTTTTTTCTGAAGGCAAATTCACGAAAGAGGAAGCCACGAGGGAAGAAGAACAAAGCTGTGAAACCGAAGATGGACGAGGTGACCAACAGTCTGTCTTCTGCTGCACCCTCAGACAAAAGCTCAGAGGACGAAGACGAAAAAGAAGAAGAAAAGGTTTTTGTGGCTTAAAAATTCTACTGCAGCAATTTAGCTTTTTCGTTGGGATGCTAAAGACAGGCTTAAACTTCTGATGCACGTTTTTGGAGTGTGTTGCTCTTTTTATAGCTCACTTTTCTTGAATATGATATCCAGTTGTGCCTACACACTACCAGCTTCTTTGGTTAAGTTAGTGTCTTGTCATCTCTGCCTTATTTTTCTTTTGTTTTGGTAGAGTAAGCTTCAGTAGAGCAATGCATGTCAGCTAACTTGTACCAAGTCTCATGTGTAAGTGCTTATTTATGCTGCTGGGGATGCAGCCTTATACACTGTATAAGCCTTGCTGGTCATTGCCTTTGCAAACCCAGTCTCCTATGGTATTTGCAGGTCTTTTTGTTTTACTCAACATTGATCAACTCTGAGCTGAACAAACACCAAAGATATTACATTTTAATTTGTTAGAACAAAGTGTTCTCTCGTGAGTAAGGCAAAAGGCAACACTAATCTTTTACTGTTTTGTCATTTAATGGAAAGATGTAAAGCTCAACATGTAATGTGGTTGGGAGTTATAGCATTGGTACATTTCTCCTGTCTCACCTTTTCTGCTTTCACCTAACAGGATGCACCCCCTGCCAAGCCAGCCCCAGGTAGAAAGGGACGGGCCTCTGATCGAGTGGTAAAGGAGGAGGAAGAGGAAGAACTGGAGCCAGAAGCACATGTCAAAGAGCCAGAGGAGAAGGAAACGAAAGAGAAGGAGGTAAAGAAAGAGATCAAAAAGGAGAAAAAGGAGGAAGGCCGTGAGAGCAAAGAGAAAAAGGAGCCAAAGGAGAAAAAGGAGACCAAGCCTGTGGAGCCGGTGCACAAAGTGGAGGAGTCTATTTCAGAGAAGGTTAGAGGGGAGAAAACTACTGGTTAACATTGTTTAACGGAAATTGTAATTTATTACAGAACGCAGTAGTAGTATGCTGTAAAGGTGTGTCTGATTAAAGAGGAATTCTACTGATTTTTCAAAATTTCTACATTATTAATATAGTTAAAATTTAAACAACATAATTCAGATTTGATTTGGTTGGATGTGAAGTGCTCATTCCAGAAAAACAGCCCAGAAAAACTTGGTGAGAATTGTTCACAGTGCACAAGATGGGAAGCAGACATCTAAAGTGTTTAATGCCTATAAAAGCTACCTCACAGAAAACATCTACATGAAGCGCCTGGTTACATAATTATTTTATTTTACCAGAGTTTTGAGAAAAGTTTGGTTAAAATATACCTTGTATAATCCATGGCAGAGAGGTATATGCAGGGAGTCTTAAGGTAAAATAGTCCTGAAAGAAAACATTTTTGTACTTTTCAGATTTACCCCGATTTTACTATTTTCACTTTTTGTGTATAAAAACTCTGACATATAGGTTCAGTCAGTTTTGGGTATTCAATAAAATGGCTATATTTATGTTGTGGACATTCTATCACCACTACTGTAAAGAAATCAGTCAGCAAGTTGCTGTACAGTTAGCCATATCAATTTAAACAACTCTGAATAACTTGCACGTCAACGAAGTTTTGAAAAATCAGTGGAATTTAAGCCAAACTGTAGTCTAAGAATGATGTCTTTTATACATGATTCTTTTTATCCCCCAGACTCCGGAGCTGAAAGCTGAAGTCCGGGACAAGAATAAGAAGGCTGACACTCCAGTCCACATCACAGCAGGGGGAGAGACTGTTCCAGTCTCTGAGGAGTCCGAGGAACTTGACCAGAAGACTTTCAGTGTGGTGAGTATATTGACCTGTCAGTCTGGTGACTGATTTGAAGCATTTCTTAATGTCTATGCCATGCATTAGAGGAACAAAGGAGAAATAACTGAAGCATAAAAATATAGAGCCTTCTCTTGTTCCACTGTCTGTATCTGTTCCTGGTTCTTAAACGTTGTGAGCTGCTGCTTCTCAGACCACACATTTAACATCTGTATGTGATAATGGGATTGTTGGGCAAAGTAATAAGTAGTTAATGCAAAAGAAAATCGAGTTGAGGATGTTGGACCTGGTGTATTAGTAGCTACATTAAAATATCAGTTTATTTTGAGATCACTATAATATGGTTTTATCCTTTGTGTGTCACAGTGTAAGGAGCGCATGCGGCCGGTAAAGGCAGCTTTGAAGCAACTGGACCGTCCTGAGAAAGGTCTTTCAGAGCGTGAACAGCTGGAGCACACTCGCCAGTGCCTGATCAAAATCGGAGACCACATCACAGACTGTGTAAAAGAATACACCAACCCCGAACAGATCAAACAGTGGAGAAAGTATGTACAGTTTGCTTTTACAGAAGTTCTAAAATTGATTTGGTGTTAAGGTGCACCATGAGATGTTTACAATTTGTTTGTATGTTTTGCTTATTGTTATGGCTAAAGCTAATCTGTCAGGTATGTTTTCTTTCTCTACTGTCACAGAAACCTTTGGATATTTGTTTCTAAATTCACTGAATTTGATGCAAGAAAACTGCATAAATTGTATAAACATGCAATCAAGAAAAGACAAGAAAACGCTCAGGTATGGGAAGCATCTTAAATTCTTAATTAAGCTTTGTATGGTATATTAGAAATTCAAAATTTCACCATAATTGAATTTATGCTCTGTTTATGCTTGTTATTAAGTAGTAAAGGAAAACTGTTATTTTGACCATGGTGTTAATACGATGGTATTTTTATGATTTTTTTTGTTTCAGACAGCGGACCAGAACACTAGCACTGTAAATACGCAATCTTATAAGCATGCAGGTATGTCTTTTATTTCCCTTAATGTTTCATCACTGTAAAGATTGTTTTAAAGATTTTTAATTTGGCTTCTTTATTTGTTTATATAAAGAATTATAAACAAATTGACATTTTTCAAGGCACACAGGTATAGAATGCCTAATTAAGACTGCTGATTTCCAGCAATATAATAAATGAGAAAGACGAGCCGGTGTGCCTGCTGCACCAAAACCAGTCTTGATCTGGTCCAGATTTAAACCCTAGTTGAGTTTTGAAACTGCCATAGTTTAAACTGTGCCATTTTCTTCTCCCATGTTCTCAGACATTGAGAGGTTAAAGGACTCTCAGCAGGACGAGAGCAGCAGAGACAGCTACAGCTCAGACCGGCACCACTCAGCCTCACGGAGCCACGAGCAGAGCAAAGAGCGCCAGTCCAGCGATTCGTACAGGAAGGGCTCTGACAGCAGAAAAAGGCCGTACCCCTCCTTCAGCAATGGCAAAGACCACCGTGAGAGAGAACGAGACCACTACAGAGAGCGCCAGGACAGCAGGTCAGAAACATGCAGGAGCCGCAGACTTAAGGAGTACTAGATTAACTAAGGAGGCACTGAAATGGGAATTGTGGGCTGAAGTTTTTATCCAGTATTTTTCTTATACATTATCTGTTGTTGCCGATACCCATGCTGATGCATAAATGTTTATAAAAGTGTAGGAATTGAGACTAGATCCACCCGGAACTACTTTGTATAGTTATAAACGCAGTAAAACAAAGAAAAGGCAGATATTTTATCCCAGGAAGTGTCACCTAAATATTCATGCTCTTCTGGAGCCCAGTATTGTTAAATATTAGCAGATTTTTGCTTTCAAGCCAATATTTGACAATTATTATTAATTTGACAAAATTAATAGTCAAATATTGGTTTGAAAGCAAAAATCTGCTGATACAGGTGTAATTCTGATAGTTTAATTAAATGTGCAGTGTTTGCGGGTTTGCTAGTGCAGTTTCAGTGAAGGAATTTAGATTGATTTTGTTAGGAGTCCATGCTTTTGATTCCCCTCGAGTCTCTTGTGATTTTGTTTTACAGTTAAATGCATAGTCCCCTTACATCTGAATTAGTGCTATCGAGTGCATCGTTTCTTATCTTGCCTTTGGCCTTCACAAAACTGATATCTCAGAAGTCTGCATTATGCAAATGAGCCCTCAAATCAATCTCACAATTATTTAAACCACGTGCTGAGAGATTTGTGACCAGTCACAGTTTCAGAGGACTTTCTGTGGGTGCTTTTTTAAATTAACATATTCTAAAGGAAATAATTTTGGTCAAAATGATGCACGCTATGTTGCAGTGTAAAAAGCAATGCTAATATTTTGTCCTTAGTGTAGAGATGCAAGATGAATGTATATTTTAGTTTGTAATATCCATGTAACTCTTAAATGTATTGCTTGCTTTTTACATATGCTTGTGCATAGGTACTACAGCGACAGCAAGCACAGGAAGCTAGACGATCATCGCTCCAGTCGAGATCATTGGTCAGACAGCAGTTCCAAGGACCGCCTGCACTCGGAGCATCGATCCCAGCCGGACCACCGCTCACACTCTGAGCATCGATCCAGCTCCGACTACAGCCACCACAAGCCCTCTCGGGACTACCGCTATCACTCAGACTGGCAAATGGAGCACCGGGCATCAGGCAGCGGGCCTCGTTCTCCTAGAGACCAGCGGTCACCTTATGACTCACGCTCACCCTTGGGCCACCGTTCGCCCTTCGAGTACTCCTCTGACCACAAGAGCACGCCCGAGCAGGTCTGGAGCAGTCGTAAGACATAGCGCATGCTGCTTGGCTTGCCCTCAATCAGCCATAGACACAACACAAACGCAGGAAATGCCTTATTGGACTATTGGCCGCTGTACTGCGCACTGGGCTTTTCTTGAGGCCCTGTGCTCTCCTCTCTTCTGTTCTCCAGGGTGACTTTGAAAGACTGGGGATTGAACACAAATTGCATATTTTTGTATTTAAGAGTCTCGTTGCACCGTTTCATAGGTGCAGCAGTGTAAGGTTTTTTTTTGTTTTTTGTTTTTTTTTTTTTAATTATTTTTATAAATTGACTACTTTTTTTCCTTATTATTTTCCTCCTTTTTTCTTTTTTTTTATTCGGATAAATAAAAAAAAAAAATCTAATCCGGTGCGCTCATGTTCCACCGCCACCTGCAACACTGGATCCTGGCATTGGCGTACCACATCCGTGATGTACTGCAGCTCTTGACTTATTTAAGAGAAAAGTGTTTGAACAGATGAAACTAGGATCATATAATGTCTTGATATCATGCTAAGAGTGGATTAAAGGGTCTCTCTTCAAAGCAGTCTGAAGGACTGGGGTTCACCTTCCAAAGTACCTCGTTTACAATGTTTTCATGTGACCACCCTGCCGACTTTTTCTGTATGTATTGTTTGTTTATCTTTCCATCATGCTTGAATTATTTAATTCTCTCAGCTGTAAAATAATCTGGATTCTGTTTTGAGCATCTGAAAATGTCCCTTTCACAAATTGTACTACTGTAAATTATTGTATAAAAGTAAATCAAATGGGCTTTTTCTTCTCAGGCTTTTTGTTTTTTCTTTGAACTAGACGTTCCCTTTCCCCATCAACTCAGGCTTTTTTTTGTCAGTTGTATTGATTTAACCGTTCAGTTTCTATTTGACAGTTTATCTAAATATGCTATTTAGAATGTAACTTGGGGAATGGGGAAACTATTCCATTTGTGTATTCCTGTAGAGCGACTCATGTCTCTCTCCTTTTTGGTTAATTCAGTTGTTAATGTGTAAGTTTAGCAAAAAGCCTCACCAACTATCAACTAGCTACACCATGTCATAAAAAAAGAACAGTGTGAGGGGTTGATCATAGCTAGAGGCACTTATTTGACTTGAATTAGGGTTTTTTTGTTTTGTTTTTTTGGTTTTTTTGGTTTTTTTGGTAATGAAATTCAACCTTTTCTCCTTTTTTATATATATAAATGTAGGCAATAACGTAAAATCTTCTATGCAGCCCAAGTGTATTTCTGGTGAACGGCCCGATCAAGTCAAAAATGCTGTTACAGTACACACTGTATATAGATCTCCTCTATATTTCAAATCAAATTTACACTGAATGCATGGATTTTTAAAAATAATTGTTTTATATAATTGTTTATAAAGTCATTAAACTCAGATCACTGTTTTCACCTGTAATCTGACTTATTCTGTTTAAATCAGGTTGTCTGTTAATGGGATGGTTTCAGCATTTAAAGTGGTGGTTCAGTTCAAAAGCAAATACACTGTGTTCTGTTATTACAAATGTAGTTCATTTTCAGATGCAGTCTTATGCACCTATGACCTGCAGACCAATAGGCAACTTTAGCCTTGTCTCACAAGCTAAACTGTGTGGATGGAGCATGGGTGTCTGAGACTTCAGCCTGTGTTCATATTACTTATCTTTACTTTATAAACCACTGGCAGCTTTTATGAAAAGCAGATAAACTGAGGCTAATTATAAACCGAAGAAGGCTTCTGAATTGCTGTTGTGACTGGCGCGTGTTAATGACTGTATTTAGCTGTCAGGTAAAGCACATTGTCTTGAACAAAAGTGCTGTGAAGCTGGTCGGGCTGATTGTGAACTAAAACAGCTGTACAAACAAAAAGCAGGAGAGTCTTCTCAAACTTTCTTTACACTGCGAGCCAGATGCAGCCTGAGCGAGATCAACTATGAAACACCCAAACAACACAGCTCACACACTTTAAAGTGCACCGTTTCTCTAATATGGAGCAGTTCTGATTCCTGAATTCTGGTGGACTAATTCTGTTTGACTAGTTGAATGCCGGGCTCTGACTGGTTAGTTGAATGCAGCATTCGAGTGGCCTGTTGAATCTTGTGCTGTGCATGTGTAGATAAATGCTATGCTCTGATTGGCTAGTGATCCCTGCAATCTGATTTAGTTGAATGCTGCACTCTGAGTGGCTGATTGAATCTTGTTCTGTGGGCAGTGCCACTGTCTGGTTGATTCCTGCAATCTGATGGGTCAGGTGAACACTGAACTCAAATCGGTTGATTGAATTCCATGCTCTGGCTGGTTGAATCCCAAGCTCTGATTGGCTCGTCGAGCCCAAAGCTTTGACAGGCTACTTCAGTTTTGCCCATCCACTTATTTCAGTGAGGATAGGCCACATTTTATCCTTTTAATGCAGCCACTTTTCAGACCATGGGAGAACTCCAGTACACTTGGAGAAAACCCACTGGATGAACATGTAAACTCTGTCTGGTGGAACTTGCAACTCCATCGCTCCAAGAAGCTACTTCTTCCTACCGATCCAGCTCCTCTCCTATACCAGTTGGCCAAATACCAGAGGAGATAAGAGAAGCTGCTCCAAACACCTGTTGAAGCTGCTTTCAGCAGAGGATACACGAGTGTGTGCTACTCAGGAAGTCTTTCTCAGATGTGAGAGTGACATCACTGCACATCCACAGAGGCTGGATGACAGAAAGGCCAGCTATGCTTTAAATTCTGTTTTGTTTATAATTATACAATCTTAGTGTTTTGTGTATTTTGCACTTCATGTAAAATAAAATAAAAAAAAAAAACAGCAGGCCAGGCACATGTATATAGGCTGGCCGTGTTTAGCACCTGATTAATTACAGGAGTATTTGATGTGCTTAGATCAATCATCCACAACTGACAGAATAAAGTTATTTAGCTGTACATTTAAGGTAAATTCTGTGAATATTGTAATTCTTTTAATGTAATATTTTTTTCAATACTAGGAAGTGTGGTTACTTGTAGTTCGTTCAAGCTGGCAGCTGCCTGTACATCTGTAGTAACAGCCAAAGGGAAGTGGTGAAATTCAGGTAAAGGAAATAGATACTGTTAGTTTGACTGGATGTGAGTAAACCAGACACTTTTCGAGTGGCAATTTGTTGTATTTGTCGAAGGAATTATGTATTTTTCCTTTTTTCAATCAAGTAAATCTAAATGTGAGAACTGAGACACAGCCGAAAGACTTTAGTACAGCACTAACCACCATACTAAATTAATATTATTGAAAAAAAAGACCAAAAAGTCTTTAAGAGGTAAGATTTTTTATTATTGAGACTGAAGCACAGTGAGTGAGCATCACTGGGCATGAGCTACGATCTGTGATAGATTTTTAAAATTAACTCGCTTTGTAATGCCAGCAAGGCCATTTCTACAGACAAAGAGAAAAACTAGGGGCAAATTTCCAGTTGTTTATATACACACAAACACATACGCACGCAAAACCAAAGGCAACGTTTTTTTCAGGCTTGTGAAGGTCGTACGGGATACGCAGCAGCTGGAGTGGATTCTGTCCCAGAGATTCTTAGGAGCTCTTCTTCTCTTCAAATATGAGGTTTGCTGTGGCTTTCTTGGCTGCAAGGAAAAAATGAGAACACTTCAGTGAAGACAGGTTTAAACTATAAAATATATAAAGACAAATAAATAACTTTACAAATAATCCAATTGAAATACTGTACTAAACAAACAAAAAAAATTGTTTAAGGTTTATTTTATAAAGATGGTTCATAAGATACGATAATCCTTTCTTAGTCCCACAGTGAGGAAATTTAAAACTATATATAAACTCCGTCCTTCACATAAAATCTATTCACAAAAATTACCACTATATACATTATAAATAAAAAAAGGAAAAAAAATCTTTACACTGTAAGGACATTTCACCTGAACTGCACACAAAGTATTGATTACATTGCACAGGGTTATGGAGATAAATTCACGTCAGTTTCCATACTGAGGTGTATGAGGTCTAACGGGGGGTGGAGGAGGGTTCTACTGGGAGCAGCGCTAGTTGTACAGTCTAACAGCAGCAGGAACAAAGGACCATTTTGTGGGTTGGAATGATAAATATATATGGAGCTTTAAAGGGAAATTTCTCTGATTTTTTTAAATTTCTGCATAATTTAAATTGTTACAGAAGAAACAGTCATTTAAAGTGGTTTGATGTGAAATTCTGTTCGGGAGAAACTTAATGAGTCAGAATTGTTTACAGTGGTGGTGACAGGAACCAGACATCTAAAGCATTTACTGCCTCTAAAAGCTCTCACACACAAAATGGTTTTGGCCTAAAATATCTGTATTTTTAAATTTTAATTCATTGTGAGGACGTACATATAGGTTGCTGTAAGGCAAAATAGAACCCAAAAAGAACGTATTTTCTTAGATTTACCACTATGTGACCATTATAAACATTACTTAAAAAACTTGTGTGAGGGTTCACTAGAGGTTTTGGATAGTAAATAAAAATGACTATAATTGACATCATGACCTCTGGTTCACTAACTCAAGTTGGTACATGTCTCTAAAATGATCACATCAAATCACTCTGAATGACTGTTTATATCTCTATGATTAAATTTTGTAGTAATTTTGAAAGTTGACAAGATTCCCCTTTAAGAATACAACTGTGCCTCTTTCATCTATTTGGTGTATAAAGTAATTAAAAATATGCTTTCCTTAAAAGTACAAAACTAATGCCCCCTCCATAAATTTAACCTAATTACAAGCATAATTAAGCTCGTTTTAGAGCCGCTTTGTCAGATTCCTGAGCTAAACCCCGTTAACATGGCATTACAGGACCTGATGGGCTGTTCAAGCCTAAAAAACCCACAAATATCAGTTTTGCATGGAAGAGTGGACTGATCTGAACTGCAATCTACAGAATTAAGCAACATGTGCATCAACAGAAAACAATCGATATCTTTAGGACGTGTGCTTTTTTACATAAGGATGTGCTTAAGGGGGCACAGATTTATTTAATAAATAAGTGACGCAAGCAGCAGAAAGTGACTCCCAGAGGAGCTGGAACAACAACAACCAAAAAAAAAACAGCCCGCAGGCAAAACAAAATCCCTCATGACGGATCGGAGCGCTTCCTGGTCTTACTGTTCCTTGAATCAAAAGCCAAAGCAAAGGAGCTGAACAGAACGCAGCTCTGTTAGAATAGAAGTGGCGTTTTTACCCTCGTCTTTAAACTTGTCTGCAGCCTCTGACGCTTTGTCTTTGATGTCCTTCACTACATCATCAATCTTGGCCTCGTTCCTCAGGAAGAAAGGGCGGATGATGCGCGTGTAGATCAAGATGGAGCCGTTAGAGGGAGTCGGGGCCATGCACCAAACCAGGAAGGCACACTAAAGGCACAAAAAACCACAACACATCACCACCTAATCTGGAACATATGACATCAGAGACAACACTATATAAGACATATTTCGCTTAGAGGTTTTGCATATTTGCTTTCACTAATCCATGAACATAATTAAGCTGTAATTATGAAAATATGTGATGTATTTAAGAATTGCGTTAGGATACAATAAAGCACTGTAGACAGAAACTCCATTGTAGAAGAACACTGAGCTGTTTTTTGAGCTGATTTTGTAACTTGCATGACTGAAAGAAATCTGGTTTAGTTTTCCTCACTGTGCCCATTCCACCAGCTTTCATTTCAACATTCTATTCTAGGTTTACTTTAAAGGAGGAGGAATAAATCAGTTGTCTTAAGGACACAGCCCAGTCAAACAGTCTTATCCCAACCTTTACTCCTGTCTTAGCAAACAAACCTTCGTTACTATTGACAAAAACTTCTCAATACAAAAGAGCTTCTCAGCACAGGCCAAATATTATCTGATAGATCAGCATTCCTACACTGACATGCTGAGCGAAAACAAACCATGAAGATTGGGACGTTACACCTACACTCATACGGGGGGTGATCTCCTGAAATGTTATTATCTAGATAAATTCACAGTACACTGTACTGAGCACATCACAGTTACTGTCAGAACAATACGTAATATGATGGCTAATAGGATGCTGCATCTAATGCACCACTGTTCAAAAGTTTGTATCAATGTTTTCAATCAAATGAATCCCATTTGGTTGCAGATGTGTAAATAAGTGTATGAAATGATTCTAATATGTCTTCATAAATTTCAAATAATAGGAGAAAATAATGTTAACAATTATTTTAGTTGTGTTCAGAATGATGAACAGAGCTGTAAATGGTTCTATAATTACTGAGAAAACTGTATATCATTGAGAATTACATTATAATAAAAATTAACATCCATGCCTCATATTTCAAAAGTGCTAAAGCAGATACCTTCATAGTAAATTAATTTATATGGATAATTACATTATAGCGTTTATCATT